CACACGAAGCTTGGCCTGGGCATGTATCATCATGATGAGCCGAATCATGTCCGCCGGGACCTGGGCGTCCTGCAGTGCAGCCGCAAGGGCTGTACGTGGAACATCGTCATAGGCCCGGGAGATGTCTAGCGAGAGCTGACAGCCCCCTGCAAGTGGTTGTGCTCGGAGTCCTTGTCTCTTTTCATGGACATTGGGGTGGCTGCCATGGAGTCGGGCCCTGGTGGCCGCACAATGCGAGAGAACACGATCGAGAGCCTGTGTGAGCGATCGGTTCGCCACGTAGGCGAATTGGGGGCAGTCTTGTAAGTAGGCCTCGGCATAGGCTTGCAATCGCTGCGCGAGCATCGAGGCCAGGACCTTGGCTTGCAGAGGTAAAAGGCATATGGGTCGCAAGTGTGCCGGGGACCTCATTTTGGGGATCAGCACCAGGTCGGATATGCACCAGGCCTCCGGAAGGAGCTCCGTACCTGACTGAAGGTGGTGCTCAAATTGAGCCTGCAGGAGCGGAATGACGGTCTCCGAGGTGAGTTTCCACAGTGGTGCCGGGGCTGTGCAGGAAGGGAGTGCTTTGCTTGCTTGAAGCCTCTGGAATGCAGCTCGGAACTCTGCCTTGGAGAACTTGAACCCCTCCCGTAGCGTGGAGCTGGAAGCGGCCGGCCCCCTGTACAGATCTTGAAAGTACTTGACAATCTGCTGGAATTCCGACTCATGTGTCTGAAGTCCGCCGTCAGCTGTACGGAGTTGGAGCCTACGCTTCGGGGTTTTGGGAGCAAACCGTTTAGCGGCCTGGTGGATGTTGGCGCTCCTGACCGCTTCCTCGACTTTGGCCGTTTTTCGCCTGCGGCATTCGAGTCTGAGGGCTCGGTTAGCCTGCTGAAGTTGGACGACCAGGTGCCAGGCTCTGAAAATGCCGGAGAGTCTGGGCCCTCGGCTGGTCCATCTGGCCAGCCTGGTGCCCGCCTTGTGAATTTGGTCTCGCAGGCTCCACATGCCCTGCACGCACTTAGTG